GAAAACAGAAAGATCCAAATTCAATCCAAAAAGTACTGTCGGGCTTCCCACCGGGCTACAGCCCGTCGTTTAGAACGGAAAGGCTCTGGCATGCTTCGCGTGTCTCGTTTTCGTATCAGATCTCGTCGTCGTTCGCTGGTCAGTTCCGAATCCGACGTGGATGGTCTCAGCCGAGTGGCTCTTTCCTTATGCTCGTCCTCACTCTGTATTCGGTAGTGGAAGCCCTTCGCTTCGTAGCGATCGAAATGCTGGCACTCCGTGCACAGAGTGCGGGGCCAATGGGGCGCCACTGCCGTCCACGGAATGACGATCAGCTCGTTAAACGGCAACAATATCGAGTAGGGTGGGAAGTGCGTATYGATAATGACAAATCCGGCGTCTACGAACCCAGAACAACGGTTGGCCGGAGGGAAGTGATACTGCCCGCCGATTTGTGCGACGGCTTCTCGTACGTCCCACTCACATACACGTGTCCTTTCCTCACTGTAGGGAAAAGTTYGCGTTGGGATGGGAGACGTCGGGAGGCGGGYGCCCAATCGAAGGGTGCTTGTCAGTCCACATATCAATCAATCACATATATCCATAGACGTCATTAAGAACAAAAATCATTCATGCGACCCTCAATCTATCCTYCTTGACAAATGAGGGAGCARACACACATCARCTTGATCATGCATAGGGCTAAGGGACCGACCCGCGACTCAATTCAACAGAACGTTGGTTTCCRGCGCCTTGTTTCTCAAGGTCGCCTGGTGGCGTGGCTGCTGATGTCGTGCCGCATAAGGCAGATGGCATGCGCAGTGCATTCGGGACCATAGATCYAAACACTCTTGTATTCTCGAACAAAATCCCGACGACACTCATCTAATCAATCCGAAAAGTCAYGCATCTCTATACATGCATTCACTGTTCACAAGACAAGTAGACKGGGTCTTTGCGTAGGAGGATTACCCAGGAAACTAATGGAAGAGTTCCGGAAGAAGTTCTTTCACACAGAAACAGGATGCCGACTCGTTCCCATTCAAGAGAGGGACAATCGTTCAGACGCATTGTCTTTCGAGAAGAAAGAGAGAGAGAGAGAGAGAGAGAGAGAGAGAGAGAGAGAGAGAGAGAGTGGAGGGAAAGAAAGTCCAAAGTAGAGGATGACAAGATCCATGAAGAGAAAAGTTCGGCGTCACCGCCGTACACTCACGCCAAAGATAACAATCCGCAACAAAGGCGCATTCGCCGCTAATTCCAATATGGCCCCGGGCCAATCAACTCAACATCGATCCTCATACCCGCACCGACGATCCCGGCCGTCGCGTGCTAACTCCCACCACTGTGATCGTCACCCCGCTGTCGTAAACTCGACACGGTTCACCCAGATCCCACAGTCCGTCGTGGCGATCCAGCGCGCAACCGGCCAGTCTATCGTCAGCCCGACAKGACTTTCCAACTCGCATCAATCCACTCTGCCTAGCCACTGCTTCCCGAAAGCTGGCTTAGGAGTCGAGAGCGTAAGAGAGCTTTGCGGACGCGCTTGCGGGTTTTATAGTTGCGACAGGGGAGATAGAAGGGGGAGAAGGCGACAGGAAAGCTGAGGTGTAAGAGGAGAAGCAGGAGGAGAAGACTTTGAGAGGAGTGCTTTACAAATGCCATGCTGATCCCTCGGAACTCAAGGTTCAACCAATCAGATTCGTCGCGCGATAGGAAGGTCCTATCGATCCACGCACCGGATTGGCGAGTGGGAGTCATCGGGGGATCGACCGGGCGTCGTACACCAGACGTAGAGGGTGAGAAGAGGAAAGGCGCGAGAGGTGGAGCAAGACGGGTCCAAGATTCAGATGATCAAGAAAGGGAAATGGGCGCGCGAAAGCAAGGCGGGAGAGAGAGAGAGGGAGAAGGAAAAACAGTTACGGGGAGAGAGAAAAAGGAGGGAGAAGGGAAGGGAGGCGCGGGAGGGAGTGATGCGGGGGACAGAGAGGAGGAAGCTTTTGCATGCACGGCGCCGTCAACAAAAAAAGAAAAAGGCACCGAAACAGTTACAGCTTGCTTCTATCCTAATTCAAAATTGAAATCACCATATCCGCGCGCGAAAAAGCGACGCGGGAAAAGAAAATCCTACCCCTATTCGTATTCACGCAAAATTCCGAGAGTTTTCCCCGACGCGCCCAAGAACATTCACACACCCAAAAAGGACACGTCGAAGTTCCGCTTATCCTGGAATTCCCAACTACCGAGCCCAATTCCCAGTGCGCTTGCTAAGGCGCACGTAAATTCCCATGTATTTCCCGACTTTGCAAAAAGAAAAACAGAACTCAGTAGGCGAAAAAGCTCTCAAAGAGGAAAATGCGGCACCCGAAAGCAAGAACTCAAAACGGGGTTTTCCTGGGGTTGGTATGATACAAGCAAAAGAAAGGGTACGAAAGATGGCACGGGGTCGGGAAGTGGTTCGTCACACACTTAACCTGGGGCCGGAAGGGAACCAGGGAAAACCTGTAAATAGCTAATAAGCAGTAATAACCCACGCTACCAGAGTGGCCCGGGATGACTTGCCCGGCCGGGCCCAACAAATTTGAAAAAAGCAAAAAATAAATAAATAAACAAATATCTTTTTACTTTATTTTTTATTTTAAGTTTGGTAACGAATTTCAATGTGACCTTTGTTCGGTTCATTTTTCTGCATGACAAAGTTCTTCTTGCCAGATATTTTGGAATTCTCTCCCCGCCCCCCCCCTGCTGGGACCTTCTTGGGCCCTTGCACGGCCAGGCCGCCTGGGCAAACAAGGTGACCTACGGCACTCTCTTGCGGCAACTACTATCTTTTGAAGCTAGCAGTAGCTTGCTTCTTGCCAGGTGAATGGTGCAAAAAAGGTTGCAGTCTACCACCTTTTTTTTTTTTTTTTTTTTTTTGGATGAAGAATCATGTGAAAGCCCTTCCACGATTCAGACCCCAAATTCGGATTTCAGGGTCAAGGTCTTAGGCGAAGACGGTCAGTTTCAGAGAAGTCGCAGTCGGGGTACCTTAGGAGCCAACAGGTCCAACAGGCACCCGGTAAGCAGTCACATCCCAGGGGTGAAGGTTGCATTCTTTATGCAAAACTCACGTCTCATAATGAAAAGTCATATTGAAAAGTCACCTCCCATGGGCAAAGGACACTTCCCCACCAGGCAAAAGTCATGTTCCAGAGGCGGGAGTCACAACCCACAGTCAAAAGTCAAGTTCCACAAGTGAGAAGTCGTGACTCACAGGCCCAAGCAGCAGCACACCAATGAAAATTCGGGAAAAGTACCAGGCCCTAACATTCTGAAGCAAACAGGCCGTGGAGATGTGGTACCAGTGCCAAGTCAAGCCACAAGAAGCAGAGGCTGGGACGAGTTGAAGCTCATCCCGAGACAATATAAGGACTGGCCAGCCTCCTCGTTGGGGAGATTGCTCATTCGCATGAAGTGTGCAAGTGCTGGTGCACTTGTGTGCTATTGGGAGGAGCAAAGCGCTGAGCCAGGGAGCTGCGCTGTGAGGGACAGAGAGAGAGGGAGCAGCCATAGCTGCCCCAGCGCTGGCAGAGGGAAGGCAGTCATAGCTGCACCGGTGCTTAGTAGTAGACCTCAGAGGGTTTAGTAGAGTCAGCAGTGGGTGTATTCAGAGTTGGTCCTTGAGTGGTAGAGAGTGTGAGTGCATGCGAGTAGGGAGAGAAGACAAAGGGAGGTAGTAGACAGAGAGAAGACCATGGGAGATGAGAGAAGAGCAGTAGGAGAGACTCTCACCTGAGAGTAGATATTGGTTACTTGGATCTGCGCTGTTGAGTGCTTGCGACTGGAACTCTTAATTGCTCATATGATGATTTGTTGGAATTCTAAATCTGCGCTTACCTGGTCTTCGTCTATCTGGCTTCCAGTGTGAACTTCGTGAAATCCCATTTGTGCGTGGTGTGTGATTGTGTGCGCTCATTGGTGCTGAACTGAGAGGCTCATAGCACATGGCACTTTTTTTTTTGTCTTTTTAAATGTGCTGTAGCTATGTCGGCATTGTAGGGTGATTGATTCATAGCCAATGACAAAAAGGAAAGCATGAACTTGACAAGCATTTAAAACCTGGATATGCATTTTTGAACTTAACAAGGGTTCAAACCTCGACAAGCATTGAAAGTTAGTTTTTGAAACTTGTGCATATTTCTTGTGCAATCAACTATAAGTCTATAAGGCTATAAGCACTTTGGTAAACACAGAAGCTACTGTCAACGGCCTAACGACTCTACGAGTTTTTTGACACTTTTTGGTTGGACTAGATAATCAAGATTGCAAACAAAAAAAAAAGAGGAGAAACAAAAATAACGACCAGGTGCGAAGGGAACACGCATTTGAAGTTGGCATTAACGTTTCTCGATCCACAAAGAGGTGTAATAAGCATTAGCTTGGCAGATGAATCTGGAAGGTGCTTTTCTCCACTGGCGGCCGGAAGGATTCTTGATATGTTCAAGGCCTTCGACGATCCTTGTATTCTATTACGGTCCAGAAAGAAGAATCAATGCAAGGGTGTGGGACTTGGCCACTCCTTGTTACAAGAGTGTTTGGTATCTGGCCACCGCTTGTTACAAGAGTGTTTGTGGTACCTTGTCGAGGCTGCCTCGAATTCCAATTGCTGTGTGTATAGAGGTCTCTGTCAGCTGGCTGAATTGGCATCCTGAGACTGTATCTGTCCTCCATTCTATGTATCCAATGGCTGTCTTAGAATTCAATGCATGCAGTATTACAAGTATAGCGCATGATGTGTGTGTGTGTGTCACAGTGTGCGTGTGTGTGTGTGTGTGTGTGTGTGTGTGTGTGTGTGTGAGAGAGAGAGAGAGAGAGAGAGAGAGAGAGAGAGAGAGAGGTTATATAACTTATATTACACTTGATGACGTTGATGTGCAATGTTGTTACAATGTAATTACAGCACTCGGTGATGTTTTCTTGAGAGGTTGGGGGCTGTATTTTGGGATTATTAATTTTTTTGCAGTTTTATGTTTCAATTTCAGAGAGAGGAGATCAGGGATTGGTATGGTTGAAGTTACTGCTTCCCATCCTCGCAGTGACTTCAGGAGCAGTTTCTTTGCTGCAGTGCTGCATTGGTGCCGACGTGTTGGCTTGGAGATCCCTGTATGCCATGCACGACTTTGCGTGGAGAGCTCACTATCAGGAGATGTTTGACCGTACGATTCGTGAAGTTCTCTGCTGTCTTGGGAGATCGCGGTACTGGTGAGTTTCTATTCCATTGTGAGGAGGAGGGAGCACCGCCTCTTCGCCACCCCGCTTAGGCACCCTCCTTACCATCCCTCTTTGCCACCCCTCTTACACACCCCCCTTTGCCATTCACCCCTCTTCTCCACCCTGCTTACAGAGCCCTCCTTACCACCCCTCTTTGCCACCCCTCTTCGCCACCGCTTTTTCACACCCCGCCCCCTTTGCCATGCACCCCTCTTTGCCACCTCGCTTAGGCAACCCTCTTTACTACCCCTCTTTGCCACCCCTTTTCGTCACCCCTCTTATCCACCCCTTTTCCCCACACCCCTTTGCCATTCTGCCTGTAGCAGCTTCCATCTTCCGTTTAAACGCCCACTGAGGCCTGCAACAAGTGAGACCTGCGGTGATGCCTACTGGCTGGCCGCAGGGGGACCTGACAGACTGGGTGGGAGATTTCAAGGGCCCCGACTTTAGTGGTTTTTCGTGCATATTCTGCCTGGCAAAAAAATCCAGGAAAGATCTTGGACGGAGATTAACCGCCAATCTGTTATAGAAAGATCCGAAAAATATTAGGGACAAAACAGAAAAAAAACTGAATGGCAAACACAAAATCCTGACATCTCCCTGACCCACTGCCGATTGGGGTGGGGGGCAACATGCATCCCCTTAATTGTGAGAGCTAGCTATGCTTGCAGGGGTCCCCTGTATAGGCTTGGGAGTAGTGGCAGGCAGGTAGTGAGAGGTGAAATTGAGAGCAGAATGTAGCTTAGTTTTGAATTAAACAAACAGAAATGGAATTTTTTTTTTTTGATGAAAAATACAAAAAAATCCTGACATCGAAGCTCCCCATATCTTTGCCCTGTGCTGTTATGACCCGGTAGGCCCAAAACTCCTTAGGTTTGATGCTCCAGCGTCTAGAAAACCGACAGGTTTTGGGGTCAAGTGGTGGCTCCCAGAAGGCTGCTTGTTACATGCTGTACAGGCCCCAACCTGTTTCCCTACAGGGAAACTTCCAGGCTCTTGCCTGGAAGCTTCCTTCTGACAGGGCCTACAGGCCCCAGCCTGTTTCCCTACAGGTAAACTTCCAGGCTCTTGCCTGGAAGCTTCCGCAGGGTCTAGGCCAGGGAGGCATTGGCAAGAGCGGCCTCCTCGCATAGGGCATTGGCACGGCCAGCCTCCGGCACGGGCCAGCACTATAAAGGACTGGCCCGCCCTGCAGGAGAAGGGCAGTTCGGCAGTTGTAGTCTTCAGGATTCGGGAGCAGCACTCTGGAGGGAGCGCTGCGTTAGAGTAGTAGTAGCGTTATCTTGTAGTCTTCAGCGCTGGGCGCAGTAGGTAGCTGTAGTCTCCAGCGCTGGGCGC